TCCAGTTTGCGCTAGCGGTCGATGCCGTCTCGGCGCGGAATACACTGCAGTTCATCTTTCTCTCGTAAGCCCCGACCTTGCGCGTTTCGTTGATCACGCTTTCTGAACGTTCTGCAGCATGTTCAATGCCCTTTTTCTTGTGTATGCTATCATACAGATCCGCGAAATTCAGGCGGCCCTACCTAAGAACACCCCGGGGTTGTCCCACATACCCATTAACACGCTCACTATGATCATTCCAATAGTGATATCCGTCGCCGAGTTAGCCTACTGCGCCCTAGGATGGAAAATCTACACGGAGTTTGGTTGGAAAGTATACAAGTTTTTGGGTGCCGACCGCCGTATCAAGACCATGTATGCTCACTACCAAATCTTCTTGTGCCTGATTAAGTTCGACCTATTCTTCTGGATGGGCTTCTCTGTGCAATTCATCTGGCTGGTCCTCAACAAACAAGACGCGGAATTCTACCTTACATATGCGGCGTTGCCGTTGTCCATCATAGTGCTGATCGAGGGGCATCTTGCCGCTCGATACGAGAACAAGTGGATGATGTTGACGTTCATGGCAGGTTGTGTCGCAGCTCTGGTCTACTTTGTGTATAAGGTGACGTTGAATTGGAAGCATGATAGCATATATCTGTTACTGACTATGCATCTAGCTTGTGAAGGTTCTTAGGCTCAAAGATACGGACCCCACTTTCGAGGCAGTATGGGGAACGTTGACAACATTCTGTAAGTGGCAGGCATACTTACGGAATACACACCTCCTCACACGCCTTTTTGCAGCCGTGCTCGCCATCATACTTCTCATTGCCACATTCATTGTTGCTTGTCTGGTTATGCAGAATTTCGGCCGTGGACTGAAGATACAGAGTGCGTAAACGTTTATTGTTCAAGGTTGTCTCGTTTCTGAGATTCTGGAAATATGTAGTTTCAAAGAACAAGAAAGGTATGCAACGTGGCAAGTCGATGCATATTCATCGAGGTCCAATGGCCACACATCCAAATAGGATGAGCATCGAATGAGGCTGCTATCAGAGCCCACGGACTTGTAATTTTCAATCTGTATTTTTGTCACATCGCCCCACATACAATGCACTACCACCATGGACTACGCCTCCGATCTTATATTCGTTTTACTTCTTCGTATCCAGGCCCCCATGATTCCCATATCTCCACCGCGACATCTTCTGCGGTCCTCTCAATTTATTCGTATGATATAGTCATGCTCGATGAGTGCCGACAGGTTCGCACCAGAGCTTCATTTGTCCTCTAGATTCGTTACGTACAGTAATCGCCTTCTTCGTACCTGCTGTAGTTCGCAGGGTTCTTTTCAACATCCAGGCCCACCTTTGTTTGGCACCTTACCTGCTCATGAGACCGAAATGTATCGCTAGAACTATGATAATACCAGACAACGAGGGTCCTTGTTTTCGTAATAAAACAACCGTGCACGGACCTGAACGCGCGCCGACGTGGCGGGACCATTCATAAGCGCTAGTAAGCGGTGTACCTGCCAAGATCACACAACTCACGCTCACACACCGATGAACGCAGCAGGTCTGCTCGTTCATACCGAACATGTCCCAAAGGTTTGTCAACCCAACTTATGAGAATCGTCGTCTCGCTCATAGCTTGCTCTCCATAGATACAGGGCCCCAAATTCTCTTCATAACCGTACGGCTTTACTGGGAACCCAAGAATACTATACACCCCCGTCCTCTGGCCGCTCGTCGCCTTTCGGAGCAAACAATGGACAGCGTTTTGCAGATGACCTAGAGGGGCAGAATGATGAGCACCTGGAAGGTCTTACGGCCAAGATTAAGCTGCTGAAAGACGTAAGTGGCTTCCGTTTCCGCGACCCAACTCTAGGGCGTTCACCTGGCTCTAGATTACGATTGGGATCGGAAACGAGGTGCGAGAGTCGACAATCCAACTTGGTCAAATGGTGGGTGTGCTTGGTGCTAGACTCGCAGAAGACGGTGTTCATCTCCTTTGGTTAGAACGATGCATTCTCCGAGACGTCTGGAATTCTGGCGGGTACCTTCCGCCGGATGAACAACATGGCTGCTCGCCAAGGCTGTCGTTGGCTGTGGTACATTATCTTCTTAGTCGTCGTATTCTGGTTCTTCATCATCGTCTGGTGGTTTCGGCGGTAATCTACCACTGCATAGTTGTCTTTCGCATCCGTTCATGTCAGGCATCGTCCACTTTGACTCCTCAAAGGAAGGTATGACGTGGAATAATGGCCCAAAAGAAAATAAGGAGAACTGCGAAAAAATACAATAACCACCTTCCCGGTAGTGTATACCTTAGGTATATTCAAAATCCCAAACAGAAGAAGGGAAATGATCGAAGCCTTCGAGAATGTTACGTGTCCTCACGTAACCTTGCATATCCAATCTCCCACACCATGCGTCTCCGCAGATAGCCCATGTCCGCTTGCGTAAACGCGAACGACTCTTCTCCTCTTGATAAGGATTCGAGGAACTGGCATGTAAACACACCACAGTCATATCCGTTCTCCTGCTGCGGTGTATCCTGCACACCCCGTTCAACACTTGGTTCAGTGAGTTGCAGATGGTGATTCGTACCTCAAAAGTATAATCTTGCCATCCAGTGAAGTCAAACGGCTTCTTCTTTTTATTGCGATGCTCAGCGTCGAGATAGTTCCGCAGGTACTAGGAGAACATCATCAGTGCAATGTGTGATTGGGAGAAGGGTAAGCGGCTCACCTTGAAAACTTGAGAGCGATCCATGTTCATGCTATCGTATGATTCTATTCGCTTATGTCGGAAATTGATGGCAGCACCCGTCCAGTGGGCGTTATTATGGTTTACAGGGATGAGGATGACATCCTTTGAGAAGATGTCGATCTGCGAAAGTGGATTAGGCGATTGTGAGGCGTATACTGAATACACACGCACCTTCTTTGTCCATTTAGCCAACCTGGCCTTCTCGTATCCTTCATTTTTCAACTTTGACCAGAAGAATGTATTGAAATAGTGAGCATTCAGTGGCTTCAGCCGACCATTCTTGGACCCAATTGTACGTGGATTTTCTCTACTGTCTTCTGAGCGAGACAATATCAGTTGTCCGTAGAAGTTGATCAACTCGTCGTTCAACCACTGGCCAGGCCTCAGTCGAAACAAATCCTTGTCTGAGACTTGTTCTCTGACACACTTTGAGATAACGCCACGTTTTGTCATAAGTACGTCCACCGCAGCGTCATCTTCACGGGGAAGCGAGGCGGGGAGAGGCTTGCGCTTAGGGCGGAGACGTTGCTCAATTTCATCGTCCCTGGCAAGTTTCCAGTGCCGCAATTGATCGAGATTGGGAGAGAATGGTGGTGGGGGTTTGGGACTATAGGAGATGGTTGAATAAATCAGTCATCCATACGAAGATGACCTAGCTAACCTTTTTAGCGTTGCCTGTGCATTTCGTAAGGCACGTTCAAGGAAACCAGAGCTTGGGGGCTGAATAGGACTGAGGACGATAGCAATAACATATGCACAACCGAGACGCACCTCTGGCATTGAATACCGTCGACTGGACCCACTGCCTTGTGCCTGTCGTAAATCGACAAGTGACGGTGACGCTAGATGGTTGCCGTTCAGATTTGCTGAATTGAGAGCAAGATGAATAACTTACGAGCTAAAGATTCTCGCCTCTCCAGCATCTCCAACCTTTCCTTGTAGCCCAACCAGCCTAGGACAACGTCTAAGTATGGAACATGAAGCAATTTAGCAGAACATACCTCGGAACTCTTTTAGACTCGATCTATAGCCTATGAAGTAGATATAGGTGAGTAGAAGGATAGAGCTGAAGATTAGCAGGATGTAGTCACCTTCTCGTCTTCGAAGGTCGTATAGTTCCCTTTCCATATCCTCTCTACCCTTTCTACGATCCTCTTGCACGTCAGCTTTGAACTACAGGCGCATTCAGTTATCCATTTCTCTCATATGATACGCGAACCGACCTTGCTGTGATAGATATGTTGTCGGTGCTTGACAGGTCTTCTTATCGCCTTGTCTTTTTGAGTTCGTACATCTTTGAGCTTTTCCTCCAGCTCAGGATACAAGCCTACGAAAGAGGTTGAGGAGCTCGATGTGGCAAGGCTCGAGGGAGGAGAAAGAAGACCTGTCTCTCTCCTCTTTGCACTACTCGACCGTGGCTGCAGCCGTGACGTTGAGGCTTCAGGCTGTTGGTACGCTGAAGAGTGACCGTGGCTTTGTATTGATGACTTGGACGAAGTTGCCGTGGGTTGCGGCTGAGGGGCGACGACAGGTCTGGGAGGTGATGGGGGCGAAGAAGGCGGCGGTGATATGAGATAACTCGTCGCGGCGGATTGGGTTACTGTAACGCGAAGAGCTTTAATCTAAAGAGACTTTGAAACTAGGATTACTGTAGATCTGCTACCTTCGCCGCCAAACAGCGTGGTCACTCCAACCGCGATGGTTTCCTTGAGAAGAGCAAGGCTCTGCATACCGCAGTCTTTCCAGCGAGCAGCTAAAGCTTCGTACTGTGACGGGCTAGAGTTTTGGCCGTCGACACGTTGTTGGCTCGTACGAGGAACCTTGCCAGGCCGTGCGACAGGGAGGAGTGCGTCCGGAGAGGGACGTTTCAATAGATTCATTGAGATTTCGCTGTTGCGCGTACGTGGACACCCAAGACCCAGTCGAAAGGGTTATAGGCCGTAGCCGCGGACCAACTGACAATGCTAGGTGGAAGTCGAACTGACGGACAGTTAAACGGGCCAGAGAACAACAAATCTTGAGCGCCTTGATTCGGGGTTGCAAAGATCAAGTCAACTTGTCGGAATGGTTGATCCCTGACTCAATTCCAGAGTAGAAAGTGGTATAGGTGTCTTGTGAAGAGGGGACAGTGAAGTTGAAGACCTGAGGAGGAGAGTTGCAGAGCTCACGGTACGAACGCCGGAAAGCCAAAATGGCACTCGAGCTAGGCGCGGACTCGATTAGGTAAGAAAACTTAATATCATCGCTTCGATAGCTCAGTCGGTAGAGCGCAGGTCTCATAATATGAGCCCGGATATCCGGGATTAATCCTGAGGTCGTGAGTTCAAGCCTCCCTCGGAGCAGTCCTTTTTTTTTTCTCTTTTCATCCTCTCACCTGATTATCTCTTCACCATCTACACAAACGTAGCAGTTGGATGAAGATTGAGATACATTTCAGAGTATGTAAAGTCAATGGGGCTTGAGGAACATGGCATACAAACTTGCCTCGAGACCGGCGACGGCCGGCACAGGCCACGTGATAGGACCAAGATGGGTAAGATAGGGCTCATGGCAAATTGGTCATTCCAGGGCATTTGCACGCCGCAGGCGGCCGAAAATATGCCAGGGCATATTCCCCTGTCCAAATGTGGACAGTGCCAGGGGAAATCACTCACCGCTGCAATTAGGCGCCTCGCGCTTCAGCAGCAAAAGCCCTAACTTAGGGTCAGCCTAGGGTAAGCGCGGAAATGCTGACAAATCGCACGTGAGGTCTCTCATTGGTGCAGAACGGTCTGCACTCGGTCAGACCGTTCTGACCGTTATTTCCCCTGGCATGGCGGAGTTCCCGGGCTCATGCACAATTGACTAGTATCATGTGACCTACGAGCAATACCGAAACACGACGGGGAGCGCAATGCAACACTCAAATGTCTTAGAAATAGCTCTCATTGGGTATATCAAGAGTAACCACCACAAAAATATAAGTTAAAACCTTTCTTGAACTGAAATACTGGCTGTTCTCGGATGGAGGAACGGGCGCCAAGATCACATGATACTAGTCAATTGTGCATGAGCCCTATCTTAACTTGCCGAATTCCGGGCCATATACATACCAAATTTGAATGCTTGGACCGGGGCAGCGAATCTCATGTGACACGTGACAGTCACATTGGCCCAAGTGATGCTTGAGATATGTGTTACGTCACGCGTCACTTCCGCCAAATTGTGACAGTGGGTACTAAGCACTGCGACAAGTTCGACAACGTCAGTCAATGCTTGTGATTCTAACACAGTGAATTCAGGAAGTAGCAGCATATTATTAGCATGAGGTAGGTGGGAGTTATGGCTGTAAGTGCATTGTAAGTGCATCTATCAAGCACACCGGGACCTTGGGCCTTGGGTACCACCATTTATAACTGATGAGAGGAGCAGTTAACAGGTATGAATAAAGGGTAGTTGTATGCTTCTGATCACAGCAAATCTCCGGTCTTCCTCTTCCATCTTTACAGCCGTCCGACGATATGCTTTGCGCCGAAATATAGATATAATATCTGGGTACCCTCGAGAAGCTTTATATATATACAAACTCAGCAACTCCTCTAAATGCATGTGGAAGAGGGGCCTACCTAATGGCTAGTCCTCCAGTTTGGTTCCTGTGGATAGGAAGGTATAAATCACGCGCTATGACAGGGCAAGGCTCACCGCCCGGTCGACGAATTCCGCTGAAAGACGAATTCCTACGGTTGAGTCCCCTCTACGTCCGATCAGCCCACGCCAGGACTGCAGGATAAATCATGAGCATGACATGTTCGAAGATGCAACCATATTTTGCCAGGCTTTACCAGGCGTGAGAGGACGCCCGTCGACACCAGGCTTGCGCCACCTTTGAGATAAAACCAATTGCAGATTGCGCCAACATGACTGCGGAATATGGGGTGATTGTGGGATGGTGTGGAATCGATGAAGAGAACAAGGCGTACCTTCCCTTCCAGTTAAATCGCTTTTGGGATGGGTGGAGAGCTGCTAAACAAGGAAATGCGCAGGTTGCATTCACCGACCGGGGTTCCAGGCCCTCAACTGGTGTATAATTGCTGACGCGGTCGTCCACGTATTCATTCCGTGTGCTTCGCCGATTTCCATCGAATTTGTAGCAGGTCTATATGCGCCGTATCTCGTGAGCGGCGACACCATTCGATCGGAGAGCCTTGAAACATGGTGTCAGCATGCACGTAACGAAAAGCATTTGAATGTTAGCGTATGCTTACACACGCAGAGATTCGCGTCATGGCTATAGAAATCCCACAGCGATCGGTACCACCCCGTCGACGGGAGTCGAGGGGTTAGAGCGCAGTTAAACGCGGACCCTAACGGGTAAATCTCCAAGTATTCTGATAGACATATGTCAGACAAGCGTTGGATAGGAGGACTCGTATGTACCTGGCAGTAAAAATGCGCATGGAAAGAGGCGTCGGCGTTAAAGACGAGAGGCAGCGGGCCGTGTATCTGTGAAGAGGACAGGGGTGAAAGAGACGTATCTGTTTCGGTGTTTCTCAGTATGCGGAGACAGGATGAATCGTAGCCGTGCGTTACTGATACATGATGTGGCTCAAAATGAGGGGAGTTGCCTAAAAGGGGTCCGTGTTCGGAGTAGGCCTGTTTCGCTCTCCTGACTAACTCAGAACTAGACCACCACCACACCATTCTTCTCTTATCGTCCTGCGCCATCTTCTCTCACATATATAAGACCGCAGTCAGCGCTGAAATACCCTTTCCTCGTCTCCCATCTTCGACAATACTCACCCGCGAACAGAGTACGTCCCTGACGCTCTGAACACTGACCACCATGGGCATGAGCTATCGTCGATACCTCGCCGGAGCACGCATTTACGGATGTTGCTCGTGCAAGACCCATCTAGCGACCATACATTCAATGATCTCTCGTGTAAGTCGCAGTTCCGAGCCTCTGCACGCATTCATGCGCTGATCTGCAACGTTTGGCGTAGGCATTCACCGGCCAGCATGGTCGTGCGTACCTCTTTGAAGGAGTGTGAGTAGTCTATCGATTCCCAGCTACGATGTACTGACTGTCCCGATTAGTGTCAACGTCGTAGAGGGTGACCCAGTAGACCGCCAAATGACCACCGGCAATCACACAGTCCGGGACATCTACTGCTGCAAGTGCGGGGAAGGACTGGGTTGGAAATATGTGCGTTATATTTTGCGTTTAATACGTACCGAGAAGTACTAAAGGATATCCCTTGAAACAGGAGCATGCATATGAGCCCTCTCAGAAGTACAAAGAAGGCAAATATATCCTTGAGCGGCAATTGCTCGTCGACGTTCAATGATCTTCGACCCCTCACCCACATACATACACGCACGCACCGGCAACTCCCTATCTTGGCCTTGGTCTTAAATAGACCCATTCTACACTAACAACAGCCATCGACGTTCCAGCGGTTCATCACACGATCACCCGCAGTCAACTCTTGTCAGTCAATATGGTCTCTCTCGTCGACCATCAACACCCCCTCCCTGCACCTCTCACCATCCACAGATTCTCTAACTCTTTGTACTTGGACCCCACCACAGCTGTGGGATGCCTAATACCGTCCCTTGGGCCTTAGGGTCAGGTCAACCGACAGAGGCGCGCGAACCGTCCGAACTCCCACGGCTTCGTCGCAATTCACCGATAACCCTGCATACTCCACTTGTATCACCACCTATACTCCTGAGGGCCTCTTGCATTGTCGTAGCGATTCGTCGTCGTCGCTGCGGCATCTTGCTTGTACAATTGTTGTACATTAAGATTTCTATTTTTTCTTCGTTCTGATTATTTATCATACTTATAGATGTTTTATATATGTCCTATATTCTCCGCATTCCGGCTCCCTCAGTAAATATCGTCCTTTGCATTTCTTTCTCTCTTCTTCACATAGCATCCCCCTCGCATGGTCCCCTTCATTAGCCCCCTCCGATTCATATACATAGACGTTTTTCTTCCCCTTGCATTTTCCTTCGCATTAAGAGTTTGTAGTATCTGTAGGCTAAACAAAGAATGATGGAACCGTGTTTCGCTTATGCTAATTATGTTCGGGCTCTTAAGCTTACACTCGTATTGACATGTAACGTTATATGTAACCCTGGGAGCGACATTCCGACCTTCCTCGGTGTTCGTAAAATTAAATAAAATACAATTCGCACTGCTTCCCCAATATTTCCGCTGAGCGATTGTCCCAACGATATGGCAACGTCAATATCTGACAGACGGAATGCCAGGTGATTCCGTTTTGAACGGTCGGTCTGAGACCGGGAGGATAGGCTTCGGAGACTAACGTCACAAGCGTGGTCGGTACAGGACCATATGGAAGAACCTCGCCGGGTGCCCGCCCCAGCTACCTACTAAAGCACAGAAACTCCCTAGTCAGCATTAATTTTGAGTCTGATATCAACTATGACTCAGCTCTCTAGTTAGTACGGCGGCCGCCCTCGGTTGAATTGGCGGAACGCCTTTGACGTCTATACTGGGACTAATGGGGTTTTGATCCGGCTCCGACGAGACTAAGTTTGCAAAAGAAGAAAAAAAGGAACCGACTCGACCGGCGCAATGCCTGTACGAACCCGTACGAATCTGCTAAACTGTTGACTACTGTTACTCTAGCAGTGACTCGCTTAGAGATTTAGTCCAAGACAGCAGCTGACGCCGTACGCCCAGTTCCCGAAACGCCACGACCGAAAGACAATTTAGCGGGTGTGTTCCCGGGATACATCTGACCTGGGTACACATCTGCTAAATTGTGCTCGGATATGCAAGTGCCTGTTGCGTGTAATTGGTAGTACTGGAATTCGTTTATCTGTCCAATGTCTTGCCACGTCGATGACTAGTCGTCACAGAAACTGAGTAAGTAAGCGTACCGGACAAAGATAAGCCGCCAGCACACCCAATTGCACCAGCCATCAATGCCTCTTACGAAAACAAGAGGAGCATCCTGGATATAGCTGGGACAGAGTAATCTGGCATCAAGAGCCTAGATTTATGTATGACAATATTAGTGTGTCGCCAAGCTGCAAAGAAGCGCACCAAAGGACGATACTCGCCATCTATCGTCCATTCGTTTGCAAGATATGCTGATATGCTGCTCGGTATTATTGACCTGACGCTCTTGATTACGAGTCCTGAAGGATCGCAGTATAGTTAGTTAGTGGCTATGATACCGACCATTTTTGATTTCGACCCCACCCCGAACGCCGCAGCGCAACGAGGTCAACCAATGACAACAACGAAAGTAACGAAATGCATACCGGTGGAATAGCAACCCTTTCAATACAGGAGTGTGAAACCTGTGAGCCAATGCAAAGAACT